CTCGGGTATTTAGCAATCCTAATCGTTGCTCTTCCGGTGGCCGCGGCTCGATCCCCGCCGCATCGATCGAGAGGCGAAAAATCAACCCCTCGCGAATTAAAACGGCGACCTCGGTCGGGTCGAGTGCAACGCGAATCTCGCGTTTAGATTCTACGGTGATGTATAGTAATGTCTCCCTAATTGACGCCGAAATTGTCCACGAAAATGGACAATTTGGGAAGAGGAGATACGATTGTTCGAGCCTTGCGGTTCGTTTTTATAGCCACAAATTGTCAACAACTATAATCGTATCTCCTCTTCCCAAAATCGTCCATTTTTCTGCGCAACATGAGCGTCAGTAAGGGAGACATTACTTGGCAAGAAAGTAATTTCGGTTTGCAGCAATAGATAGCGATACGTTTGTCGTTCTTTTGTTAAAGTTATAATTTTCTTGGCTTCTGCTTTGGTAATTGACACGTTCAAGTTACTATATAAACAAATTCCGCGTTGTTTCGTTCACAACCGATAGTTTGTAATTTTAACACGGCAAGATCTACGGTAACGTCTCTCTAACTGACGCCCAGATCGTCCACAAAAATAGACAATTTAGGAAGAGGAGACACGATCGTTCGATCCTCGCGGTTCATTTTTATAGCCACGAATTGTCAACAACTATAAAAACGAGCTGCGACGACTCGAATAATCGTATCTCCTCTTCCCCAAATTGTCCATTTTTCTGCGCAATCTGAGCGTCAGTAAGGGAGACATTACTGTATTATCTTGGCAAGAAAGTAATTTCGGTTTGCAGCAATAAATAGCGTTACGTTTGTCGTTCTTTCGTTAAAGTTATAATTTTCTTGGCTTCTGCTTTGGCAATTGACACGTTTAACCCTTTGCACTCGAAGCCATTTCAACTATAAATCTAAATTCATTCCTCCGACTTATATATATATACGGTATTTCTATTTTATACGACAAAGTGCATTTTATGCATACAAAATTCAGTCTTGCGACTCGTACAACAGTTAGACTTTTAACAATTTTTTCCATCTAAGCTTTTATAATATAAAAATTATCTTGGAACGTGATGTAACAATTTCAGTGGTGCCTCAGGCTCACCACTCGAGTGCAAAGGGTTAAGTTACTATCTAAACAAATTCCGCGTTGTTTCGTTGACAACCGACAATTTGCTGTCAATTTTAACACGGCGTCGTTGTCATCGGCCGTCGTCATCGTCGTCGTCGACGTCACCGTCGTCGTCGTCGCCGTCGTCGTCCGCAGCTCTCAGGCCTCGTTCGAGGGACATTAGCTAAACGAGCGAGCCCGAGTACATATATGGAGGTGAAACAGCTGGTTCACAAAGGACATTCCATTCCATGTTGCGCCGGGTGCATTAGCTTTGAGCCGATTCGAGTCTCTATCGCCGACTCGCCGCATACTCGTTGATGCTCGCGGACGGCCGCGGGGCGCTTGGGAACTCGGCGCTCCCGTCTCCTCGGCTGTGAAATATTCAGAGGGGTTTTTTTTCTCTTCTCCGCGCTGCTCGAAAAGTTTTTCGAGCACGGCCGCCGCTCTTCTGCGGCTCCGCGTTTCGCTCGGCGAACAGCTGCGCTTGATTCCGCACGGTAAACGCGCCGTTCTAATTACGGGCAATTGGCCGTCATTGTTCTTAGGCGCGTACGCAAGGCGGGGAGGATGATTAACGCGGCTCCGGGGCCTGCAGCCTCGAACCGTCCGCGAGCCGCTCGGAAACTGGGCCCCGGCGAAATTATGATCGATCGCGGGATCCCGCGAGACGGCAGGGAAAGTGTTGGTATTGTAGGAAATTCGGCCTTATTCGTGATCCGATTGTGCACGAAAGGCTTTTATTTTTACAACTATCGATTGTCGGCGATATAAAAAGGAAGACGCGAGGCTCGAATAGTTGTATCTTCTAACTTCTCGAATTGTCCATTTTTTTGGCGCAATCAGCGCAAATTAGGCAGAATTTACTATAGTAATTACTATAGTAAATTATTTATATTATAGTATTTACTACAGTAATACTAGAGCAAAAACAATGACCTAGCTTTTTTTATTTCTAATTTTTTACTACGATTCGAAGGCGATTCGGAGGCCACGTGACACGATTCTACGGTCACACGTATCTAGCACAGTAATTGATTATTTAAACTTTTACATTTAATATATCTAAACTTCGATTATTTAAACTTCGCGGCTCGTTTTTACAGTCGCCGATAGTCGACAACGATAAAAACGGGACACGAGGCTCGAACAATCGTATCTCCCCTTCCGGAATTGTCCATTTTTCTGCACAATCTGAACGTCGATAACAGAGAAATTAATATCGAACCGTCAACAAATGAATTGAAACTGCGATTTCTGTTATCAGTACGTCATAAATTATCAATATTAAACACACAAAATAACGTGATTCATTTCTAGAAGACCGCACGCTGTAAAATGTTAAATTCTACTGCTTTTATAAGAGACCGCAGTATTTGGGGCGTGCGCAGTGATGTACCCGCACTTACCCAATTCCCCGCGAGCTTGCTGCTTCGTTCGGACGCCGAATGCTCTCGACTTTTCCCAGGTTCCGCGTCGGCAATCAACGGCCGCGATCGAAAGAAAAACGCGGGAGAAAAGTTCATCGGCGAGCGTTTCGAACGCGTGATTCACCGCGGTGAAGTACCTTCGGCTATAGCGCTCGAGTGCCCCGCGCGTGCAACGGCGGCCGCGAGCCGCGATCGTGCAGTCGCCGCAGCGGCGCGCCGCGGCGGCCGGCCGCCAGCCAGAAGAACTCTCTCGAGCTTTCCCACGCGTCGACTTTTTCCCCCCGTTACCATTTCCAGACGCAAAACGTTCGAGCGATCTCGAAGAATCCTCGTTACACTCGTTACGACGAATTAGGAACGACGAAAAGATCGTTTGGTCAAGGTTATGTCAAGGTTATGTCGAGGATCGACGTCCACGCTGAAAAGCACCGATTGGGAAAACTGCCTAATTTAATCTCGCGAGATCGCGCGCTTTCGTTGACATTGTCTGGAGATATTCTCGAAAGATAATCGGTGAAAGAGAGAGAGAGAGAGAGAGAGAGAGAGAGAGAGAGAGAGTGTCCGTGCCCCTGCAGCCAAAGCCGCACCAACGACACGAGTTTCCGACTCTGCTCGCCGAATCGCTTTCGAATAATGTTAAGAGCGCGAAAGAATCTCCCGAAATTCCAAATTACCGGACAGTTGGGCCCGTCTGGGCCTGATCGCGGCTCCTGTTGCAGCACCGGTTGCGAAACGCCTTGTGTTTACGGCCGCGGCTCTTTCGGGCCGGTGCTGTGTAATGAATGCGCGTGAAAGTTTTCGTCTTCACCGTCGTTGTCATCGTCGTCGTCTTTGTCGTCGTCGCGGGTCGTTAACGTAAATGGCGACTAGCGTCTAATAATGACCTAATACCGTGTCGACGGCCACTAAATTTCAACGTCACCGTCTCGACAGACGTTTCCACGAATTTACATGTACAAGGCTCGTAACAATTGTATCTGCTCTCTCTCCAAATTTGTACATTTCTACTACTATATGTACTATATTATATAATGATATAAATAATAATATAATTATTATATTTGTACGTCGTTGTTGATTCCCGCGACGCGTCCCAAAATTATGGTATTTCCGACAAATGAGGGATTCCTGAGGTGATTCGAAGCAACTTTTTCCTTTACAAAAATTTTCTCCGAGGCATCGTTAACGAGTTATTAACGAAAAACAGTGACCAATGAGGGGTGAGTTCGCTCGGCGCTAGGCGACCGGGCCAATGGGCGGAACCGAGCTTCGTTGGCTCGGCCGCTTAGCGCCAGTCGAGTGCTCGCACCTCATTGGTCAGTGTTTTTCGTAAATAACTCGCGAACGATGGCTCGAAAAAAATGTTTGCAAAGGGAAAAGTTATCTCAAACGAGCTCAGGAACCCCTTATTTCCAAATTGCGAGACATTTTTGGGACACCCTGTATTTACAAGCTGAGAGACAATTGCAGACAATTCACTTATAGTCGCCGATAAAGTCGACAACTATAAATATATTAATAATAATATTATATTATAATATATTATATTATATATATATATATAATTTTTGTTTATCAGCCGAGGGAGAGAATTTACAACAATCGAAGAGAATTTACTGTACCTCGTTTCTGTCTCCTGGAAACGCCATGCCATTGTTCCTCTGCGCTTCAATAGACTCGTCACTTCGCATAACGCGCGCGCACCAGTTCACATACACACTGTTCGGTCTCGTTGGATCGACTGTTGTCGCCTATTTCTCGGAACGGTACACGATTGCAACATCGAACATTTATTCCCGATAATTAATCTCTCTAAACTCGTACCGTAAAACATTCCAAATCGCTGCTTCGACGGGACGCAACACGCCGCGGACGCGTCCGGACGTACGCGAGTAAGGTTATGTCAAGGGCCATCGCTGGCGTCGAAGTTTTCGGCGGACGCGTAGATTTCCGAACGGTTCCCGAAGCTCGCGCGGGAACGACGCCCGACGCTTTCTCCTCGCCGATTTTTCACGTTGTCCGGCGGCGGACACGCGGAAGACGGACGCACGCGTTCCACGAAATTCGCTCGATTGTTGCTCGTTTTGTGAAAGCGCGGATGAATATTGTGTTTCACGGGGGGCCGCGCAGAGGAGGTTGTCTCCGAGGCGCGACTTTGTATCGTGTTTCGTTCGGGACTTAGGCGGCGATCGCGATCCGCCGACAAGAGAACACGCATCCCGGAGAATTTATCGGTGTCCGCGGCGGCCGACAACAAATAGAAAATTGACCCACTCGCGGAACACCGAACGAACGGGTTACGCGAAAGCGGCATGAATGAAACATTAGCCGGCCGACGATTACCATAGACGACGAAGTCGTCCCCCCTGGCACCCGCGGCGTCTGAATATTCATCGAGGACGCGTGCACGCGTTATTAACAATAATAACTAACTGCGCCGCGCGCGGGAACAGCGGAACGGTTGGAACAAGGAACGCGGCGGCGGCACCTTGACGGGTTCGCCCACGGTGCTGCCGTGACAATCGCGCGTATTAATTATGCATCTACGATCGACGAGATCGCATCGGCGGATACAGATGTCCCCACGAGATACGCGGAATTAGTCCGACATCTTTGCGACATTTGCACAACGATTTAATCGATCCAAAAACGCACAATTGGAAATTCGCCGGTTTTACAGTATTGCGTCAAAGTTATGTCATGGTTATCAACGGTGGACGAATTTTACCGATGAACCGCGTACGTACAAATTTTATCGAATTTAATAATAATTACTGAAAGTTTCGTTCCCTTCGTTGTCATATGAGCCGTTTATTTTGAAAGTGCCACAAGTCACTTTGTTTTTAAGTCGATAATATTTAAGGGTTTGCGTTTCAACACGTTTCAAAATATGGATGCTAACTTTCGAGAAGATTTACTTGTGTTTGTTATCTCGGGATATTGATATTTTTCTCCGTATAAATAATTTCGTATGAATATTTAAAAAATCACCACTTTTCATTACGGTAAAGTGACTTATGCCACTTTCAAAATAAACGGCTCGTATATTAACCAGACACTGGACTACGTAACCTCAGGCACTAGGCCTGTGTAACCTCAAATCACAGATCGTGTCTGTTATATTTTTTTTACAGAGAAAAAGTGCTAATACGAAATTTTATTAATGCAGTCATCTTAAAGATAGAATTTAGCAAAGTATGTTAAATATCAAATTTTCATTGTGGACTGTATTCTGGAAGGGAGCACAGTAAGTAAAGCACAGTAATTGTCCATTTCTGTTTGCAAAATTATTGTTATCAGGGATTATCACGGATGATGATGATGATGATGATTATTATTATTATTTATTATTATTATCATTATTTATTATTATTCATTATTATTATTATCATTATTATTATTATTATTAGGGAAAATTTACTCTACTTCGATCGCTTCAAACTCCTACACAACAACGACAGAGGCGTTGGAGACACGCTTACCCTTAAACCGCCGAAAAACTCATCCCCTGGATCGCACGTCGTCGATCCGTTCGTCGTCCTGTAATCCCAACGGCTCCAAGTAGAGGAACCAATATTCGGTAATCTCGTCGAGTGGATTCACTGGGCCGATCTAAAGCATCGTAGCACGTTCAGGAAGCGGCGAATCGTTCACTATTGCGACCACTGGCTCTCCGACACGGCGTAGGAGCTTTCAGAGATCGCGCGGCGGTATACGCGACACGGTGCTGGACGCGGGTATCTCGATGGAGATCAAGAGTCTCGGAAGAGTCCGGCGAGAAGGCGGAGGCCCCGAGGCGTGGATCCGAGAAGAATCACGGAAAAGAGACACGCTCGGCTAGACGTCGCGGTAAACACTGGCGGAGGATGCACCGGAGCAAAGCGGGAGAGTTCTAGCTTGGCGGAGAGGCCTCGGGCACTCGCAAGGTTCACGTGGGACAGACAGGAATACCACCGCGGAGCCACGGGGTGCGGTCTCGTTTCGTCGCGGCGCACAACTTTTCTGTCTCCTCGCTCGGATACGAGTAGAAGAACCGGTCCAAGCAGAACCGTGTCCGGCGAGTCCGCGCAGATCGACGGAGGATCGATGAATCGTGGCCTGATCGCGATCGGGGATCAGCTGCTCTGCCTGCTGTCATTGCACCCGTGACGATGTTGCTTCTCGTGCTAAGGTTGTAACGCGATACCGTGCCGTTCCCGGTCCGGTCGCATGTTCTTTCATCGATTTCGGATCGGCAGAGACACAGAGATATCGGATATTCATTGCTATTTTTATGTTTATCGAAGCGATCACGCGACCGTGATCGAGTTATTTCGTTCACCCTGTAGATTGCCTATTACTCGATCCACGAATAGCCTAAATTAATACGATTTGCGTCGTGTTTCGGCTCATTTTGATCGGGAGAATCTCCGCTGTTTATCGATGCTGCAATTATAGAGATAAGACGACTATTAATGAGAACGATACTTTGTTTATTGCACATTTAGTTTCTACTGTGCGAGGGCGTTACATTCGCCTATTCGAACCAAACAGTATTCTCTTTGTCATTCGTGCATATCATCGAAAACGAGTAAAATGTACAAAGTGATGAATTTATTTTGGTCACCCGGTGTACAGTAGTAAGCTGTTCCATAAACGTAGTCCGATTCGCGCCGTGTTTGGACTCATTTTAATCAGAAAAATCTCAGCTCTCCTTTGGTGCTAGAATTATATCGCTACAGATTGTCAGCAACTATAAAAACGAGCCGCCAGGGTCGAATAATCGCATCTGCTCTTCGCAAATTGTCCAACCGAGCGTCAATTAGGAAGAACTTACCGCGCACGTATTCAATCGTACCGAGAATTACGTGACACGCGTCGCGGCAACGCGAACGCTGGACCGGACCAGGAACGGCACGTGTATCAATCCAGAACGACCGAGCCGTGGCAGTGAGCCCCGGAGGGCAATCGCGGGACAATCTCGGCATCCGAGTCGGATCGATTTGTCATATAATTGGTGCGCGTGCCCGCGCGATTTCTCCGGTCCCGATCGGGCCCGCCGGTATTCCGCGCGGGCCCGATCGGGGCCCCCTCCCTGCACGTGGGAGGCGAAACGGACGCGATCCTAGAGCGGCGGCAGTGGCGTAACCGGTAAACAAACTCGGAAAAGAAGGACACCGTACCGAATAAACCTGTTCGTCTCGGGGTTCTGGCTCGTTTCGGCTCGGCTCGCTCGTTATCGGCGAAACGCGAGACGGGTTATTAAAAGCGATCGCTTTATGCGCGCGGTCGCGCGAGATGAGACGAGGCGACCCTCGCGCGATCCTGTTCGCCGTTTCCATTCCTTCCTCGGACAACCGCGCCGATTATGACTCTTGGATCTCGTCCCGAGTTATTAGCAACCCTCCGAACGGCTCCCGCTCCCTCTCTCTCTCTCTCTCTCGTAAGCTGAATTCTCTCTCTTTCTCTCTCTCGTAAGCTGAAATCTCTCTCTTTCGAGCTGTTATCTTGTTCATTTTTCTCTCTCTCTCTCTCTCTCTCTCTCTCTCTCTCTCTCGTAAGCTGAAGTCTCTCCCTCTCTCTCGTAATCTGAATTCTCTCTCTCTCTCTCTCTCTCTCATAAGCAGTATTCTCTCTCTCTTTCGTAAGCTGATTTCTGTCTCTCTCTCTCTCTCTCTCTCTCTCTCTCTCTCTCTCTCTCTCTCTCATAAGCTCTCGAAATTGACTCGTCCTTCGGCCATCGTCAGCCGATCGGAGTCGTCGAAACGTTCGCGACGGGAGCGATCCTTCGCGGATCCTTCGATCCTCCTTTCGCATCGTCGTCGAGCAGCGGCGTCGACCGAAACGGAAGTTGTTCTCGGAGGAGAACCGCCGCAGCCCGCGGTGCAAAAGGACGGCGGCGCTGACCGAGAAAGAAGCGAAAGAAAACGACGACGGTCCACGGGCGGAATAGAAAGGAAAGAGATACGCGGCGGTCGATTGTGTTGCGACGTGTCGGTAAACCGAGCAAGATGGCCGGTCGGGCGGAGCAGAGGGACCGTTAGGCGAATCTTTCTTCGCGAGGGAAGAAGGAAGGCGGCTGTGATGCCCAGCGCGTCTTTCCTAAGAGACCCCGGCGCATCGAATCGTCCGCACATTAACGCAGGAAATCGAGCGGCCCCCGTTGCGGTTTCCTGGGAAAACCGTACGCGCGCCGCGAAAAATCCCGGACATGCATGCCGGATTGATTTCTCCGGCGCTCTTATAGGAAACGAATCAACCCTCTGCGCCCGTTCCTGACCGAACCTTACGTAAACCGCCGCTTCGATCGCTCGTTTAGCCACCGTTCCTCGCGATCGATCCGAGGAACCCGCCGTTTCCGGATTGCGAGACACGTTTGGAACACCCTGTATGCGGCGGCCGTACCCACGGGTCGCATACAGTAATGTCTCCCTAAATGACGCTCAGATTGTGGAGGAAAATGGACAATTCGAGGAAGAGGAGATAACGATTAATTTGAGTCTTGCGCCTTGTTTTTATAATTACCGATTCTCAACAACTATAAAAACGAGGCGGCAAGACTCGAATAATCGTATCTCTTCTTCCCAAATTGTCCATTTTTCTACACGATCTGAGCGTCAGTTAGGGAGACATTACTCTATATGCGGCGCTCGGCGCGAAAGGGTTAAAAAGGCGAGATGACTTTAATTTCTTCTAAAATTAATTAAGTATATATATATTATTATATATATAATTATGATATTATTTATATTATATTTATATTATATATTATTATATTAATATATTATATAATATTATATTATTATATATAATTATATTATAAAGTTATATAATTAATAATTACTTTCGTCTAAATCTTTTTACATCGACATTTATAGAAGATCGAGCGCTAATCGATTCTTTCGGACAGCGAATTCATCGATCGGAACTTGCTATATCGGCGCAGCCTGTCGCGGGCGCGTCGGTTATAGTCCGCGAATGCGAGTTTAGGATAACAAAGAAACATTCGGGGGGTAGCAAGTGCTCGAGCGCGCGCGCGCGCCAGATGTTGGAACGTAATATTCCGTCGTTGTTTCTCTGTTCGGGGACGAAGATTTTCTGATTAACCGTCGCCTCCACGACCTGACATATATTTCCGTCTATTAATAGTCGGCGCACTGAGATCGGACTATTCACCAGCGGTCTGTGAAAACGAGGGATCCAGATGCGCCTCGGGCTTCATTGATCCCACGATTTAGATACCGCTCCGTGGTATTAAGAAATATCGAATACGTGTCGCATCCGAGATATCGTGTTCCGATCGGCGTTCGTAAACAAACGTTACTCTGTACGGAGAGCAGCCTTCGATACTAATGCTCGAAATATCATCGAAACCAATGATCTTTCGCGATCAATGGCTTAATATTATGAAATTATAATAGATAATATAAAATTAATATACAGGTGTCTCAATATTATGGTACTTCCGGGAAACGAGGGGTTCCTGTGATCATTTGCAGCAACTTTTTCCTCGGCGAAAATGTTCTACGAGGCTTCGTTCGAGGGAAAAGGTGTCCCGTACGCGAGAATTTACGCGCCGGAAATTTAACCGTGCACTGCTCTAGGCCAGAAAACGGCGAACGTTACCACACCGCGCCGGTAAATAGGGAGCGTGCAGAGGCTGCCAAGCCCATTGACCAGCCGTCGAATGACAGTTTTTCTCGTGGTGCCCACTTTCCACCCATATAATCCGCGGGACATGGACGCAATACCGGCGCGACGGTGCCCACGCGGTATTAAATAACATTTTTTACCGAAAAGCTCCGCCGGACGTTCGCGCGTTTCGACTGCCTCTGTCCTGGCAGCATTGTGGTATTAACGTGCGTCGAACGATAGAAAACTGTTCCCTTTAAACCTGCCGAACGAACAAGTTGTTACTTCCCTGTAGACTGTAAAAAACGAAACTGCCGCATCGTTGACTTTTCTCAAACGAAAGTCCACTTTCCACTTCGTCTTTAAGCAGTCAGCTGTTGCGCCTCCTTTTCAGAACGCACTACCTATAGAAGGTGTCGCAATGTTATGGCACTTCCGGGAAATGAGGGGTTCCTGAGATCATTTGAAGCAACTTTTTCCTTAGCGAAAATGTTCTACGAGGCTTCGTTTACGAGTTATCAGCGAAAAACAGTGTCCAATGAGAGGCGAGCTCGGCTGGCGTGCGGCGGCCGAGCCAACGAGCGCGCGGAGCTCGGTTCCGCCCATTGGCCCGGTCGCCTAGCGCCGAGTGAACTCGTCCCTCATTGGACACTGTTTTTCCGTTAATAACTCGTGAACGATGCCTCGGAGAAAATTTTTGTAAAGGAAAAAGTTGCTTCGAATCATCTAAGGAATCCCTCGGTTGTCGAAAATACCATAATTTTGGGACGCGTCGCGGGAATCAAGCGACGACTAGCGTCGTCGACGACATTGTCGTGTCTTTATTTACAATTTGTCTTCCTCCCACGCGGTAAAGGGCACGGCTTCCGTTCGCTCCTGTTACTGTCCCACGCGACGACAGAAGAAAAGAACTCGGTTGCCACAAATACCGCGCGCGTTTCTCGCACGACCCGCCGCGCGTTCTCTCGCGGGAAGAAACTAATATCGGCGCGGAAGGGTTCGGAAACAGGCGCGAAGAACTCGCCTCAAAGAGCCCGGCCCCGTTTCGTCGGGGCATCGGGAGACCCTGGGAGGTCGCGTTAAATTCCGTCGAGCGGAAAGCAAGCTCAAAGGAACCGCGACGGACAAAATGCACGATCGTGCGAGGGCTCGCTAAGCTCTCGGCAAGCTCAACGAATCTTCTCGGGCCTTCCATCGATTCCGCGCGCGAAACGGTAATCGAGAAGCTCGCCGGTCCTTGGACGCGCGGATTCCCCGAACTGCATACAGTAATGTCTCTCTAATTGACGCTCGGATTGTCCATGAAAGTGGACGATTTTGGATATATTATAGGCTCTAGGCTTCAGTTTCTAGGCTCTAGTCTTCGGTCTCTAGGCACCTAAGCTCCAGTCTTTATGCTCTAGGCTTTAGTCTCTAGATTCTTAGGTTCTAGGCTCTAGTCTCTAGGCTCCTAGGTTCTAAGCTTCAGTCTCTGGGCTCCTAGGCTCCAGTCTCTAGGCACTAGATTTCAGTCTCTAGGCTCTAGACTTTAGTCTTTAGGTTCTAGACTTCAGTCTTTAGGTTCTAGACTTCACTTTCTAGGCTCCTAGGCTCTAATCAATAGGTTCCTAGGCTCTAGACTCCAGTCTCTAGGTTCCTAGGCTCTCTAGGCTCCAATCTCTAGGCAATAGATTTCAGTTTCTAGACTCTAGACTTCAGTTTCTAGGCTCCTAGGCTCCAATCTCTAGGTTCCTAGGCTCTAGACTCCAGTCTCTAGGTTCCTAGGCTCTCTAGGCTCCAGTCTCTAGGCACTAGGTTTCAGTCTCTAGGCTCTAGACTTCAGTGCTTAGGTTCTAGACTTCAGTTTCTAGGCTCCTAGGATCCAGTCTCTAGGCTTTAAGCTTCAGTCTATAGATTCCTAGACTCTCCGCTCTAGGCTCCCAGGATCCAGACTTTAGTCTTTGGACTTCAATCTCTAAGCTCTATGCACCAGGTCTATGTAAATAGCTACAGTAATGTCTCTTTAATTTGACGCTCGGATTGTCCACAAAAATGGACAATTTTGAAAGAGCAGATACCATTGTTCGAGCCTCGTGGCTCGTTTTTTATGGCTGTCGATTGTCAACGGCTATAAAGACCGAGTCGCGAGGCTCGAACGATCGCGTCTCCTCTTCCCAAACTGTTCATTTTCGTGCATAATAATCTGAGCGTCAGTATGGGAGACATTACTGTAGTTTCGAGGAAACGCGACGCTCGAATAAGATATTCTTTGTTCAACCCCGGGTTCACAAGGGGGGGCCGTGCGTGCTGTCGCTTTGCTTCGCTAATTATCGCGGCTCGGTTCAGTGTAGCAGAACGCGCGCGCGTAGGACGCCTCGTAACTCGTAACTAATACGCGCGGCCAACCGACCAGCCGACCGACCGACCGACCGCCTAAGCGGCTTATGTTTTCCATCGACACCGTGAAATGTACCAACGACTTCATTTCAATTTTAAATATCACCGCGCCGGCCACCGATACATCCGCCGGCATTATTTCGATCGCCGGACCGAAAATGCTCTGTTTATTCCAGGGTATAGTCTGTGAGTCATGTTCGTTAGCAGCCATAAGCGGTGTCGCGATGCTGTTTCGAAAGCGATCTCGATTTCCCGAGAAGTTCCCCAGAAATAGGGCAAGCGTTCGTATTAAAGTCGCGGTTTCTCGACGAAGGTGAACTTTTTAATGGAGAAAATTAGAGCTTTTACGCCAATGAATCGGCATCTCGAGCTGTACAGTAATGTCTCCCTTACTGACGCTCAGATTTTCTGCACAGAAATGGACAATTT